CGAATCGAATCGTATTAAATCGCTTTAATTTCGTATTCATGATAATACGTGTGAAACGTGTGAATGTTTCGAAAAGTTCGTGAAGGCTAATCGCATCACGTGGGAACGAAGGAACGCGGCGGACGGGTAACCAGCGTTTGATGGTCCACGATGGGTCTTCTCGAAAGTCGACGCGTTTTCGATTACCCGGGAAACCACGCATACCCGTGGTTTCTAGAGCTTCCCGTACCACCTTTCGCGCATTACGGATACGATGCGTCGCACCACCAAGGAATTCTCCCTCTTTCGCCACCATCCTTTTTCTCCTGCATCTCCCTCTACTCTTCCTGCTCGATTTCTCCTCTTCTCGACTTCTCTTTGAAATCGTCGCATTCTAACATTTGAAGAAGTCTCCGTGAGACGACGCGAGTCGAAATATCATTTGTGAATTTCTTCGAAACGAAGAATTTCAGTTTTTGTTTGAGAAGCCTCTCAATGAGGCTAACAATACAGGACCTTCCCAAATTTTAGAAAAATTATTAGATTACTAATATTTCTGATATTGTGTTGAGTGTTCTAAAAATTAGGCTGAATCTATTTTTTTCTCCAAATTTGAATATAGGTATGTTATTGTTAGGTTTCGGATTTTTATACAATTTCATGTTTTTATGAATGCGATTAAAGAAATGAAACATAAGTAAGAACTTAATTTTAGACGATTCTTATATTTTATATGTTTTTTGCATGTCATGTGCATGCTCTGCATTTTTATATTCTAAAATCTGCAATCTGATCGTTATATTACTACAGTTTCAAAAGGATTATACTTATGAAGAACCAAGCAATGATTTTATCATAACGTTACAAATAATTCGGTTCTTTTGAAATTTCATAAAATTATAAAATTTACAAACGAATCGTTAACATCTTCCTTCATAATCGCAATATTTAATAAATTGCAGGAGAATTCAGGAGAATTGCACTTTGCTAACATCCTTAATAGGTTAAATATTTAATTTAAATATTAAAAACTCCTCCAATTGTATGACAAAAATTCTTTATTTAACAAACATTAAATAAAGAAATATTAAATAGTGACATTGTATAAATTATATCAACCATAGAGTCTTGCGCCGACGATTCCTCGTTCCTTCGGAATACGACAAAGATGCATTCGATCGGTGAATCAAATACAAATGTATACGATGTAAGCTAAGAATAAAAGCAAGAGTTTCGTGACTCGTTCGCTCGATACGATGATTCCCTACTTGTCAGACTTTCCCTTCTTCCTCCCTTGAAAATTGCTGGACTTTCCTATTTAGTCAACAGTTTCGCACCTATCCTTAATTCTATCGATCATTCCACGAATTTCTTTTCGCAAGTTGAACAATCGAAGAAAGGGAAAGCATTGCTCATCGTTCTTCCCCCGTTATTCATTCGTCCTTGCACATTTTTATTATTTCGTGACTGTTCGATCGCTTTGCTTAGCTAATTCCATTCCATTCGATTCGATTCGACTCGACATCGACTACTCGTCTTTCCCATCGCGATTCTTCGTGTTTCCCTCCAGGGAACGGAAGTAGATCCGCGATTGCGTATTAAGTTAATCATTAAGAAATAAGTACAGCATCGTCCAATTCATTTTAGTCTCAGATAGGAATTGATTCGTCGATCGCTTGACGTTCGATGGTTGAAAGCCAGTAGCCAATAGCCAATAATCTGTGATCAATCGGTAATCAATCGGTTGTACTCTACTACGATTTGCATTTTCACCATTCTAATACACCCGGGATGTATTTATCGATCAGTTTCTCGTAGTAGGGCCAGAGCTTCTCGATGTCGGGAACCTCGCCGCTCTTAGTGTATAGATCATATTTGCTGAAATTAAATGATCAGATAGAGCTACATAGCGCGTTACATTGTTCGTCTATGTTTTTCCTTCTTTTTTTTTTTTTTTTTTTTTTT